TTGTGGAAACCATGACACAATTATAGGATACTTTAATGAAAAGAAACTTCAAAAGAACATCATTTATTTGAAATAAATCTTTTGTAATATTATATTCTGATCAATATAATGCAAGTTTGGTAAATAAAAGTAAAGGAAAAAAATTAAATAGCATCACAAGGGTGAGGTACTCTGAATAGTTCAGCTCAGAGCTTTGTGTAATGCAACAGTCCAGATGTGACGCCACAGGGAGGAATTTCCCGCAACTGGTAGAGGAGAGGCAGAGAGAAAGAAAGAGAGAGAAGTGGTGACTGAGGAAAAGAGAGAAGGCAGGGACATAAGGCAACACAGAAATGAGTATGCGTGACTAACATTTGCAAATATCTTTGGCTAGCACAAAACACTCCAGCAGTCGCACCAGACCCCTGCGGTTACGCTGCATCTGAATTACAGCTTATTACAGACTGTGACTCTGTGGCAAGATGTTTAATTACAGAATCAATGAGATCGACTGACTCGAAAACTGGCTGGACAAGGATCCTCCTGTCTGATCAGCTAACCAAAGTTCTGAATAATTAAAAAAAATAAAAGACAATCTTGGGTAACTGTACTTTTCATGTGTGACCATTCATGAGGGCATAATGTTTGATTAAAGTAATAAAGATTTCTACACTAATATTAGTGTCAGAACCACTTATAATCAAGCTTCTTATAATCTACCTTTTACCTAACTATGTCACATTCATTTACTTGTCACCTCCTAGCAGACTCTTCGAGCTGTCAGTCATCCTTCAGTAAATATAGCCCAGAGTGTGACATTGTATGGGGAGGTGTGGTGTGTTGCTAGGTTACCTGAGATATGTGGTTGATGGAGGACTCCATTCGGCGCAGCTGGGACGCCTGGATGTCGAGCATTTGGAGCACATTGTTGGCGAGTGTGTTGATCAGGTAGGCCACGCTGGCCAGGGACTGAGTGGTGTAGTTCTTGGTTTCCTCTAGAGCGGCGTGCTTGTCTGGAGACTGATGGAGAAATAAAAGAGCAATAATCAGTGCGCCATTAAATCTGTTCAGCCATTTCAGCCAGTCTTATATTACGGGGCTGTTGAATGCTTGAATCTGATTGGCTGACGACCGTTCTAAGGTGAGCAATTATTTTCAGGGAAACGTACGGCTAAAGTAGTTCCAGGCAGGTCTTGACCACATTACATCTCTATATCACTTCGCCAAATTATTTCAGTTATTTCAAAAGTCCTTACAGCCTAAAACAGCAAAAGAACCAAAACCCACAATGATACTAGGCTAATAAATATAGTAGGGCTGCGAGATACAAATGACATGACAAAAATCATAATTGTCGATTATTCCCTTGATTATTAATTACGATTATCACAATTTACATTGAATGATGTTTGTAACATTGTTTGAAGCAACTGCATGTCATATTTTATATGAACATAAATAAGCTAAAAACACTCTAACTTAGAGCTGTCACGATTATGAAATTTGGCTGATGATTAATTGTCTAAAAATAGTCACGGTTATTGCGATTAATTGTCTGTTTTAGGGCTTTGGCGACTATGACGATTATTCCCTTGTTCCCATGTTCCCATGTTTATTCTGTTAACTATTTGTATTCTTACAAAATACATTCATGAAAATAGGATAGAAATCATGAGAAAAATAAAAGCTTCTAATAATCTTTCTGTGTGCAAAACTTTGATAATGTGAAACGCTTCAAACAGAGCGGCACAAAGCTCTTATGCACATCTAGGGTGCAAAATGATGTGCTTGAACCAATGTTGTCACACCGTAACCAAAGTCGCAGCGTAAGTCACCACTGAAAAGAATAAGAACATTTTGGGAGGATATTCATTTGACCCGAATTGATTCTCCCAGCCAAAGACAGGAGAAGCAGTAACCAGCACTCTAAATCTTTCTCCATTTGGAGTAGCAAATGAGCAAAGTTAAATTTAAAGAGCTCTTTAAATTTATCCATGATGATAACTCCAAGATACGTAAATCTATGCATAACATAAATGTTATGTAACGGGTAGTTCCTAGCTGCAGAATGTAGTGGAAAAATCTCGCTCTTGCTCAGATTTAATCAGCCCAAATGACTTTGTCAAAGCAAAATTGACACTGCAACTAACTAAAATATTCTTTACTGAATCAATGCTCAACTAAACCAAATCAGAATCAACCTGGGACCTTGCCAAATCAAATGGATAAAATGAGTCGTTCACAAGCTACTGTCTTCACTGACAAACGGTTTGCAAGTTTCGTTTCTTACAATGGATATAGGTAAATATCCACCTCATCCAACCCTTTGTTTTCTGTCTATAAAGTTTCCTGTTACAGTGTGAAAAACCCCTGGGATTCAGTGCGTGAGTAAAGTGTCCAGATGAATCAAACTGAATCACGAATAATTTCAGACCTTATTGCATAACCATTTAATCAATTAGATCAAACAATCATTCATTTACAAATCTGGAATCACTAGTTCTGATTCTAAAGAGCAGAAAACACACAAGAGATAACTGCTGAAATTCTATAAGGGAAAATGATTCACAGGTTGGTATACAAGAAAATCTCCACCGTCAGACAAAGATGTATCAGTATTTCATTGGGGCTCGTGCCCCAGTTAGAAGGGTCTAGCGACACCTCTGGTGTGGAAAATGTCAGGATCTAAGCAGTTCTTCAGTGACATCAAGCTGCACAGTCACATGACCTGGGCTTTGATCCCCAGGCTGACAGAGAGAAAGTGTACGTGTGTATGTACACAATTCCTGTCTTTGTCCCAGGACGGTACCAGGAGGGAACAGTCACCTCTCACATACTTTTGACTATTATAGATGGCAAGCCGCTGTAACTAGGGCTGGGCGATATGGCCAAAAAATTATCTTGATATTTTTTTTTCATATCAGTCGATATCGATAATTACCACAATAAATGTAAACTTTTTATTTCTTTCAAGTTTAAAGGCAGATTTTTGCTCCAATGTGAAAGCTGTAAAAACCAGATTGTGGTTTTCAACTATTCTTTATGGTCAGAACATGACAAACACTACGTTTTTGAATTCTTTACACTTCTCCAGTCATTTTTCCTTAACAAAAGAAATATCTTAATAGAAAAAAATAATTTCTTAGTTCTGCATGTTTTAGTAATGAGTAATATTGTTTCAAATCAAGAAACAAGTTTGTGTTGCCTGATAATATTAATTACATTTTAATTAACATTTTTTTGTCTCTTAGAAATACACATTTGATAGTAGCTTGAGTTAGGATGCAGATGTAGATTTATGTTCATTATCAAAATCAGTAATATCTGTAAAAATTGTAGCAATCTCATTTTTATATGGTGAAATTGAATTATTCTGACTGTTTAAGTTTTTTTTTTTTAACCATTGGTCTTCCATAACATACATTTAGATCATGATAATCACAGTTAAAACCACAAATATAGCACCTCAATACCATGGTAAAAATTTAATATGGCTTGTAGGTATTTATGAAAAACAGTAGTCTAAATACATTTATAAATGCATAAACGCTATAGCTTAATCACAAAAAAGCACAGTATCCGATTTGGATCGGTCCTGTCTGACCAATACCCGATCTGGCATAAAATGGCAGTATCAGAGACCATATAGATACTCAGTATCGGATCGGTGCATCCCTAAAAAGTACTCAACCTTGCTTTTCTCTTAATTTGTGTCTCCTAAACAGCCACACAATGAATCTCTCAACAAAAAATCCAGCTCACACTAATAAATACATTTTGCTGAAATAAAATCATGCTATTTTGACGTGACATTTCAACCCCAGACTCTCATTACCATAATGTGTGCCCAATCATATTTCCACAACTCTAATACATATTTTTACCGTATTACAGTAAACTAATTACTGTACTTTTTTAAAATAAGCATAAATTAAAGGACAAGAAATACTACTCTTTTCCACAGTACAATGATGAGAATTCACATAGAAATCTGCTTAATTGTCATGAAAATAAATGTCAAAAAGCAAATCTTAATTGTCCAGAAAAAAAAGGCTTTTAAAAAAAAATGAAAGTATTGACCAGTTCTTGGCAGGTTTGCAAGATTCACCCAACAGTTTTACCAGATATGTACAGATTTACAACTTCCCTTCACTTGCATATGCATTTCATGAGGGAATGAGCTTTAGCCGTGTTGCTGACCTGTCCATTAAGCAACACACAATCTGGCCTGCAATGACCAGCCATCATGGGGCGACACAGGAAACCAAAAGGGAGCCAATCTTCACAGCCAGTGCTCAGAAAACAGGGCAGGACACACCCTCCGTCCTCAGTGCTCAAAACATCAAGCCCCGTCTTAATAATGAACACGCTTTAAAACTTAAGCATATCAGATCTTTCATAATCACAGTTTCACGCTTTCACAATTTTTGATGCATATTTAAAACACGGACCCAAATTTTTCTGACCCAAATGTAAATCAGGCTCTTCAATGGCATAAAGGGAAACAAGGGATGTAATGGATAATGCCATCTGTGAGGCTGAGGCTGAATTCTCCGAGGACTAAAGACATGACCCACACATGTGCCCCTGAGTCACATCACGCTGTGCATGACCTACACTGAAAAACAGGCTTTTACTAGGAAATGAAAACCTCACTGATGTTACTGTAGAAACATTATCATAAAAAACACTCTTTTAAATTATCGGACAAGTTGAAAGTGTCATAAAGTACCAGTCAAATGTTTGACACACTTAATGATCTACATAATGGAATAATGACAAATTATTAGGCGTGTCGACACATTTGACTGGTACTGCATATTAGAATTTGTCATTCATTTCATTTATCATAAAAACACTGCCGAATAAATTTAAATCAAAAGATTTTGTGCTGCTCAATGAAGGACCTCGGAGATGTAAATATTATAAGCAAAAACTCACAAAATGAGTCATCCACTGCTACAATCTCAGTCTCAATTCTCTCATTTGTGACCCTAGAGCTATAAAGCCCATATACATACCCTATGGTGCCTTTGCCTGGCATTGGGGGGCTGGGTGGTTTCTGTGTTGGAGGTGTGGTGCGAAGAAGGCTGCCCATCTTCATGTTCTGGGTGTTGACCTATGACAATAACAACAAAATCAACAATATCAAAGACAGCCTTTTGCTGTGAACAAAAGCATTTCAATTGCATGGAAGAGGAGGAAAACAGTATCTAAGTCGACAATAGCCTAGAACAGCAGCATAAAATGTAGAGCCACAGAGAGAAAGCATGTGAAAAAGTGTTTTATCTCATTTAGTTTTTTAAAGAAAACAAAGAAAAGACCAAACAAACAGAACAATCTCTCTCACACACACACACACACACACACACTCCTGAGCAACATGCAACAATGATAAAAATGTAAATGTGATATAGAAAGGATGAAAGAAGAAACAAGGATGATTGCCAAATCGGTGTTCAAATTCTAATTTGCAAAACCAAACTAAAATATTATTTGCTCCATTTCGATTCCTCAGTCATTAATGCGTCTATATAAGAAATTTCTGAGTCTCCAAATAGTGTTTTTGTAAAAAACTGACAAGCCTTTAAACCTAGAATGAATCAAATACAGAATATCAGTATTCTCAGTCCATATTTAGATCATATGAACTAAGGAATCAAACCTTATTCCTTCTCCATTCATGTCACCTGATCATAAGACAGCTGTAAAGACCCTTACCTTGAACCTAAGTAACCACTTAAACCAAGAGCGAAGCAGAGAACAGAGGTGAGAGGAAGCACAGAGAGGTTAGTGACACATCTCAGACACAAAGAAAACCCACGTCAGATTCTGGCATTTGTTAGTTCAAAACAAACATGTTAGTCTGAGAAATCATTCCCCCTGAAGTGAGCCTGTGTCCTACCTTCACACCATGACCGATATCGTCCAGCGTGCTGTAATCGATAGGTTTGCGAATAAACCGCACTGGCCTCTCGGGATTGGCTGGAGCAATGATTTTATGCGTTCGGGAGGTGTTCTTATTGGTTGTGAGGATGCCGATCTCCCGCCTCGCCACTTTTTCTTTGTGGATGTCCACCGTCTGGATTGGAGAAGTGGAAGAACAAAAAAAAAAAAAAAAGTTTAAAAAGTCTGAAGAAATTTGAGATGTACTAAAACTAAACTGGGTCATTTAGAATTAAAACCATATTTGTATCCATGATAGCCAATCATAATATAGGACATTTACGTACAGAAGTCTTAAAGCTACAATAGCAAGAATGTACTAACTGCATTGGAGAAAGAAATCATGAGAAAAAAAACGATGGCCTCTATTATCTGTGGAAACAGGTTCCAAAACATTGGAACATTGGATTGGATTATTAAAGCACGTAGTTGTGAGAGGTCTGAAATCCCTGTCGGTGGAGTTCTGTTTCATTTCACACGGCAATTTGGGAGAGGATCGTGTCAAAAGCACTTCACGAGAACAGCTGCATTAGATGTTGTGCCGCTGTGTTTAATCGCTTTAGAGCCCATGCTGTTGATAGCTGTTAAATAGAAAATAACAGCGGAAGCACAGAGGGGATAAGCCTCTGCTGCTGGCTTCTCAAACACAGCTAAATGATTTTTCAGTATTAAGTGACAGTGATATGGTAAATAGGGATCGAGTCCAGAACAACAGCTGGGTCCACAGATGAGGGCAGTGGATAGAAGACAGATCAGAGATATGGAGACAAAAACAAAAAAACAATGAAAACTGGAAGAGAGAAATCATTCATTATGGAGAAATAGGCAGCTGCTGTTGACCTGGGCCGTGTTTCCGAGAAGCATCGCTGGCAAACTATGGTCGCAAGTTCCGTCATTAGCAACATAGTTCAACGATTCAGCGTTTCCCCAAAACACAGTTCCAACAAACATCTGCAAATTGCACTGCAAAGCTGTGTGGTTGGAACTACAGCTATAGGTTAGAAGCATAGTTTCTTGTTAGTGTGACTTGTGGACTTACACAGATTGCTCTTGAGCAAGATAAGCAAGCTAACATGAAGTACATTCTATATCTTTCATTCCATATCCATATATAAAATACAGCGAAAAAAGTAATAGTGAAAAATTATTACAATTTAAAATAATTATTTTCTGCTTGAATATATTTTAAAATGTAATTTATTCCTGTAATGACAAAGATAAACTGACCGCACTCATTACTCAAGTCTTCAAGAGTCACATGATTCCTCAGAAATCATTCTAATATGCTGATTTGCTGCTCAAGAAACATTTATTATTAATATCAGTGTTGAAAGCAATTTTGCTGCTTAATATTTTTGTGGAAACCATGACACAATTATAGGATACTTTAATGAAAAGAAACTTCAAAAGAACATCATTTATTTGAAATAAATCTTTTGTAATATTATATTCTGATCAATATAATGCAAGTTTGGTAAATAAAAGTAAAGGAAAAAAATTAAATAGCATCACAAGGGTGAGGTACTCTGAATAGTTCAGCTCAGAGCTTTGTGTAATGCAACAGTCCAGATGTGACGCCACAGGGAGGAATTTCCCGCAACTGGTAGAGGAGAGGCAGAGAGAAAGAAAGAGAGAGAAGTGGTGACTGAGGAAAAGAGAGAAGGCAGGGACATAAGGCAACACAGAAATGAGTATGCGTGACTAACATTTGCAAATATCTTTGGCTAGCACAAAACACTCCAGCAGTCGCACCAGACCCCTGCGGTTACGCTGCATCTGAATTACAGCTTATTACAGACTGTGACTCTGTGGCAAGATGTTTAATTACAGAATCAATGAGATCGACTGACTCGAAAACTGGCTGGACAAGGATCCTCCTGTCTGATCAGCTAACCAAAGTTCTGAATAATTAAAAAAAATAAAAGACAATCTTGGGTAACTGTACTTTTCATGTGTGACCATTCATGAGGGCATAATGTTTGATTAAAGTAATAAAGATTTCTACACTAATATTAGTGTCAGAACCACTTATAATCAAGCTTCTTATAATCTACCTTTTACCTAACTATGTCACATTCATTTACTTGTCACCTCCTAGCAGACTCTTCGAGCTGTCAGTCATCCTTCAGTAAATATAGCCCAGAGTGTGACATTGTATGGGGAGGTGTGGTGTGTTGCTAGGTTACCTGAGATATGTGGTTGATGGAGGACTCCATTCGGCGCAGCTGGGACGCCTGGATGTCGAGCATTTGGAGCACATTGTTGGCGAGTGTGTTGATCAGGTAGGCCACGCTGGCCAGGGACTGAGTGGTGTAGTTCTTGGTTTCCTCTAGAGCGGCGTGCTTGTCTGGAGACTGATGGAGAAATAAAAGAGCAATAATCAGTGCGCCATTAAATCTGTTCAGCCATTTCAGCCAGTCTTATATTACGGGGCTGTTGAATGCTTGAATCTGATTGGCTGACGACCGTTCTAAGGTGAGCAATTATTTTCAGGGAAACGTACGGCTAAAGTAGTTCCAGGCAGGTCTTGACCACATTACATCTCTATATCACTTCGCCAAATTATTTCAGTTATTTCAAAAGTCCTTACAGCCTAAAACAGCAAAAGAACCAAAACCCACAATGATACTAGGCTAATAAATATAGTAGGGCTGCGAGATACAAATGACATGACAAAAATCATAATTGTCGATTATTCCCTTGATTATTAATTACGATTATCACAATTTACATTGAATGATGTTTGTAACATTGTTTGAAGCAACTGCATGTCATATTTTATATGAACATAAATAAGCTAAAAACACTCTAACTTAGAGCTGTCACGATTATGAAATTTGGCTGATGATTAATTGTCTAAAAATAGTCACGGTTATTGCGATTAATTGTCTGTTTTAGGGCTTTGGCGACTATGACGATTATTCCCTTGTTCCCATGTTCCCATGTTTATTCTGTTAACTATTTGTATTCTTACAAAATACATTCATGAAAATAGGATAGAAATCATGAGAAAAATAAAAGCTTCTAATAATCTTTCTGTGTGCAAAACTTTGATAATGTGAAACGCTTCAAACAGAGCGGCACAAAGCTCTTATGCACATCTAGGGTGCAAAATGATGTGCTTGAACCAATGTTGTCACACCGTAACCAAAGTCGCAGCGTAAGTCACCACTGAAAAGAATAAGAACATTTTGGGAGGATATTCATTTGACCCGAATTGATTCTCCCAGCCAAAGACAGGAGAAGCAGTAACCAGCACTCTAAATCTTTCTCCATTTGGAGTAGCAAATGAGCAAAGTTAAATTTAAAGAGCTCTTTAAATTTATCCATGATGATAACTCCAAGATACGTAAATCTATGCATAACATAAATGTTATGTAACGGGTAGTTCCTAGCTGCAGAATGTAGTGGAAAAATCTCGCTCTTGCTCAGATTTAACTTATAACCAATCAGCCCAAATGACTTTGTCAAAGCAAAATTGACACTGCAACTAACTAAAATATTCTTTACTGAATCAATGCTCAACTAAACCAAATCAGAATCAACCTGGGACCTTGCCAAATCAAATGGATAAAATGAGTCGTTCACAAGCTACTGTCTTCACTGACAAACGGTTTGCAAGTTTCGTTTCTTACAATGGATATAGGTAAATATCCACCTCATCCAACCCTTTGTTTTCTGTCTATAAAGTTTCCTGTTACAGTGTGAAAAACCCCTGGGATTCAGTGCGTGAGTAAAGTGTCCAGATGAATCAAACTGAATCACGAATAATTTCAGACCTTATTGCATAACCATTTAATCAATTAGATCAAACAATCATTCATTTACAAATCTGGAATCACTAGTTCTGATTCTAAAGAGCAGAAAACACACAAGAGATAACTGCTGAAATTCTATAAGGGAAAATGATTCACAGGTTGGTATACAAGAAAATCTCCACCGTCAGACAAAGATGTATCAGTATTTCATTGGGGCTCGTGCCCCAGTTAGAAGGGTCTAGCGACACCTCTGGTGTGGAAAATGTCAGGATCTAAGCAGTTCTTCAGTGACATCAAGCTGCACAGTCACATGACCTGGGCTTTGATCCCCAGGCTGACAGAGAGAAAGTGTACGTGTGTATGTACACAATTCCTGTCTTTGTCCCAGGACGGTACCAGGAGGGAACAGTCACCTCTCACATACTTTTGACTATTATAGATGGCAAGCCGCTGTAACTAGGGCTGGGCGATATGGCCAAAAAATTATCTTGATATTTTTTTTTCATATCAGTCGATATCGATAATTACCACAATAAATGTAAACTTTTTATTTCTTTCAAGTTTAAAGGCAGATTTTTGCTCCAATGTGAAAGCTGTAAAAACCAGATTGTGGTTTTCAACTATTCTTTATGGTCAGAACATGACAAACACTACGTTTTTGAATTCTTTACACTTCTCCAGTCATTTTTCCTTAACAAAAGAAATATCTTAATAGAAAAAAATAATTATGACTAAAAGGAGTAGTTGTTTCCACTGTTAGAAGGAAAAAATTATGCGCCGCATGCACACACACAGTTAAGCATTGCTACCTTGACAATGCAGCCTGTTCATTATCATAATAAAACACAGTCAGTCAAACACATGGAAACAAACACACTGCTCAGTTTAATTATGTAGTAAAATCTGTGCCGTTAAGTGTTATCACCGTACCGCCGTGATGTTATGTAAAACATTTTGTTTTACGTGGATATTGGAACGCGAGTGAAGTAGGCTACATAATATAGCTTCTTATATTTTTAATTCTTGTTCTTTTCTAAATACTGTTAATTGAAAGGTTTTTTTGTGGAGTGAGGGGAACTAAAATAGCCTAGCTATGTTTACAGTGTTTATTATAATGTTTGTAAACATTTCGCGTCGGCATTAGGCCTATTTCTGAATTAAATAATAAAATGCGACTTCTAGGCTACGCTTGTTTTTCTCTCTCTAAAAAACACATTTTTTTATACACGTGGCGTATTTTAACCATGCAGCAAATCTTTTTAAATATTTTGATAAATTACTGAAAAAAAATAAAAATAAATTACTTTTTAAACCGATTAATTGATTGTATTAATCGGTCAAAATTCTATACGGTTGGTTAACGGTTAACCGGTTAAAATGAACATCTCTATGAGAAACAGTAGTCTACATACATTTATAAATGCATAAAGGCTATAGCTTAATCACAAAAAAATGCTGTAATTATGTTCCTTTACTCCTCCTTCAATATATTTAATAGGGATGCACCGAATGTTCGGCAACCGCAATGATTCGGCTGAAAATAGCAAAAAAAGCTCTTTCGGTGTTTGGCCGAATAAGCGAAAAGACCGAATAAATTGTACCGAACAATGATATGACGCAATCAAATAGCAACCAGCGCAGAGTGAGAGGCGCGCACTCTTTATTATGCAGCACACACGTCAGCAGTGTGGAAGATTTGAACTGTCGGAGAAAGACGCAAAAATCATTACAAGCACCGACAGCGAGAGACTGTTTAGGACTGCATCGCGTGTCTTCAATGAGAAGAGGAAGGGGTGATTCTTGCTGGTTACTGTATGATGATTGAAACCGCGAAATGTCCTTAAACAATTAGTAAATAAACTGCAGAACGTTATGTTTTCTAATACACGCGCGCATTGCATGTATTCTGACAGCGCTGCATGAACTCGCAGCAGATCTGCTTGTTAACCAGGGTTCAAAGTCCAAAGCGCGAGGAAAATCTGCGCTGATACAGTCGTCAGTTGCTCAGTCACATTTTTATGAATTTTTACAAGGCATGTGACAATGCGATACATACGACGTATTCGTAATGAGACTCATTTATAAATCTGCTGTCAACAAAAATAAGC